ATATAAAGTTTAAAGTGATTTTTTCCAATTCTGACCTTCTGAAGAAGGTCAATGGTAGCTTGATGGGGATAGCACTGAATCTATAAATTACTTTGGGTAGTATGGCCATTTCATGATACTGACTCTTCCTAACCATGAGCATAGAATGTTTTTCCATCTGTTTGTGTCCTCTTATTTCCTGGAGCAGTGGTTTGTAGTGTTCCTTGAAGAGGTCCTTTACATCTTTTGTTAGTTGTATTCCTAGGTATTTTATTCTCTTTGTAGCAATTGTGAATGTGAGTTTGCTCATGATTTGGCTCTCTATTTGTCTTATTGGTGTATAGGAATGCTTGCGATTTCTGCACATTGATTTTGTATCCTGAGACTTTGCTGAAGTTGCTTATCAGCTTAAGGAGATTTGGGGCTGAGATAATAGGGTCTTCTAAATATACAATCATGTCATCTGCAAATAGAGATAATTTGACTTTCTCTTTTCCTAACTGAATACACTTTATTTCTTTTTCTTGCTGATTGCTCTGGCTAGAACTTCCAATACTATATTGAACAGGAGTGGTGAGAGAGGGCATCCTTGTCTAGTGCCAGTTTTCAAAGGAAGTGCTTCCAGTTTTTGCCCATTCAGTATGATATTGGCTGTGGGTTTGTCATAAATAGCTTTTACTATTTTGAGATATGTTCCATCGATACCTAGTTTATTGAGGGTTTTTAGCATAAAGCGCTGTTCAATTTTCTTGAAGGCCTTCTCTGCATCTATTGAGATAATCATGTGGCTTTTGTCTTTAGTTCTGTTTATGTGATGGATTATGTTTATAGATTTGCATATGTTGAACCAGCCTTGCATCCCTGGGATGAAGCCTACTTGATTGTGATGGATAAGTTTTTGATAAGCTGTTGCATTCGGCTTGCCGGTATTTTATTGAAGATTTTTGCATTGATGTTCATCATGGATATTGGCCTGAAGTTTTCTTTTTTAGTTGTGTCTGCCAGGTTTTGGTATCAGGATGATGTTGGTCTCACAAAATGAGTTAGAGAGGTTTCCCTCTTTTTGTATTGTTTGGAATAGTTTCAAAAGAAATGGTACCAGCTTCTCTTTGTACGCCTGGTAGAATTTGGCTGTGAACCTGTCTGGACCTGGACTTTTTTTGGTTGGTAGGGTATTAATTGCTGCCTCAACTTCAGACCTTGTCATTGGTCTATTCAGGGTTTCAACTTCTTCCTGGTTTAGTCTTGGGAGGGTGCAAGTGTCCAGGCATTTATCCATTTCTTCCAGATTTACTGGTTTATTTGCATAGAGTTGTTTGTAGTAATCTCTGTTTGTATTTCTGTGGAATTGGTGGTGATATCCCCTTTATTGTTTTTTATTGCATCTATTTGATTCTTCTCTCTTTTCATTAGTCTGGCTAGCAGTCTATTTTGTTGATCTTTTCAAAACACCAGCTCCTGGATTTATTGATTTTTTTGAAGGGTTTTTTAAAAATCTCTATCTCCTTCAGTTTTGCTCTGATCTTTGTTATTTCTTGTCTTCTGCTAGCTTTTGATTTTTTTTGATATTGCCCCTCTAGCTCATTCAATTATTGCTATAAATTTCCCTCTAGACACTACTTTAAATGTGTCCCAGAGATTCTGGTACATTGTGTCTTCATTCTCATTGGTTTCAAAGAACATCTTTATTTCTGCCTTCATTTCATTGTTTATCCAGTCATCATTCAGGAGCAAGTTGTTCAGTTACCATGTAGTTGTGCAGTTTTGAGTGAGTTTATTAATCCTGAGTTCTAATTTGATTGCATATCAGGCATTCTCTGTGCTAGTCAAAACTTCCACCCCATCTGTGCCAACAACTTATGGTGCCAGGCTGGCCAGAGCTGTCACTCAGATCTGTGTTGATAACTCATGGCACTTTTCAGCCTAGCGGTGTTCTTCTGGACTGTGGGTTGCAAAGGTCATGAGAGTTTTGACAAATTTACTGAACCAGGTGCTGAAGGGGTAAAGTCCCGATCCTCTGGTCAGTTGCACTTCCCAAGTGGGGCAGTGCCCTGCCCTGCCTCAGTTTACCCTCCTTCTAAAGTATATTTTAAAAATACAGATAGGGTCTCACTTTGTTGTCCAGGCTGGTGTTAAAGTTCGGGCCTCAAGCAATCCTCCTGCCTCCTCCTCCCAAACTGCTGCCATGACAGGGATGAGCCACCGTGCCCAGCCCATTGTAGTTTTTATTAGAATTTATGATAAACTTTTCATTTTATGGTACTGTCAATTACATCATGTATGTTCTTGGGTCATTTTTTTAAACTTTTTGTCTGGAAAGCTGCTCTGGGGAGACCTCAGTTTTCTGCCCACCTCCTTTTTGTGTGGCCCTCAAACTAAAGACAAGCCCCTTAAAGATCACCACTCCCATGCCTTGCCTCTGCCACGGGTACTTTAATGGCCTCTACAATTTTTGGATCATCTCTCTCATATTCAAGGGCCTTGGAAATTACAGAAGGTTCCAAAGCAAAACGTTTTGTCTGAAACAAACTGCTTTGGATTTTGTCTACACAATACAGGCACTTTCCTCCAGGCCTTCCACATTTGCCCTATGATTAACCCCTCAGTCATTTGCTTGGTTTTATGACAAGTAACAAATCACAGTGGGAAGGTCTTAGTTTTCTCTGTCTTTGTCACCATTCTGGGATGCCCCAGTGGTAACAGGAAACACACCCATGGCTCCATGCAGCTCTCCTGTAGGTACTTCTCTTACCTATGGGCCAGATCCTGCCCTATGTAATGTTGATGTTTGCAACTGTAGAGTTTATTTTTTGATTTAGGGCATGAAATGATCATTGGCTTAAGCAGCACCAGAATTGAAGCAGAGAAGGTGGGGACATAGATTTCTTGGCCTTTTGATGAAAAAACTGAAGATCACTGTTCTGGGTTTCCAACTGCACAAGCTGTGATGTGGCGGAGTTGGGATCGTGAGTCACGACAGCTGGGCTTGTTCCCCCATGTCCTTCATCCATCCTTCATTGCCCAATCACTTGCTGAGAGCTGTTGATGTCAAAGCACCCAGGATATCTGGATGGGCAGCACCACATTCAGTGGGGCATTGTGACTTGGGGCCGAGTCTTTCAGCCTCCCTCAATCTCACCTTCTTTATCTGCAAATAGCAATACCACAGACCCCTTATGGCAATCATGGGAAAGTTTAAGAAGTGGAACTGGGTCAGCTGGCACTTAGTAGGTAGTCAAAATCAACCATGAACAGTCAGTGTCCTGGAGCTCAGCAGCTGTCCCAGACCTGGAAGAGTGAGTGTGCTTCTGCCTTCCCCTTGTATGGTTCTGGGGCGGGAGATCTGCACAGCCCCCAAGAGAGGGGTCCCCAAAGAGCCCGGGGCTGCCACAGAGCAAGTTCTCTGTTGGCAAATAAAGCCATCGCAGAGATGATTCCAGCAAGTTGAGCACCCTCTGAACAAAGAAGGAAATGTATTATCTTTTCTCTGAGGCCTAGTAAACACTGGAAAAAACACTACTTGATTTAACTTCAAAATATAATTTTTCCAGCATGGCTGGAGTGCACCCCTCAGCCATCCAGAAGCTTCTAAACGCAGCAGGAGCTCAGTTAGGACCATCACCAAGTTGTCTCATCTCTCATGGAACCCACTGGCCCTCATAGAATTGAGAGAACATTCATTTTCTTGAACTCTTACGAACGACAGTTTGTCACTTGCCCTGACTTTATGGACCTGGGCAGCTGGCATCTCAGGGATGGGAAGTCAGAGAAATTCTGAGCATAGGCTGTATTTGCTGAGAAGACAGAGAGACTATTTTCTATTTCTCACTTCTCTCTCAAAGAGCAAAAACAACGGGCCTGTCCGGCCTAGTCAGTGCTTTCTGTCTCTGAAGTGTTCCAGGCGCCAGCACCAGCCTTCCTCCTTATTAACGTTCTGCGATGACTCCTTCCCGATGCTGGGATCCAGCCCACGGGGTTATTACAGGGCAGACTCCAACAGGGAAGATGTTGTTGACTCACCCTCACAAATATCATCATTCCTTACATTGTCAAGGCAATTATTAAACACGACTTTAAAGAATGCAAAAATAAAATATCCAACTGAAGACTTTCAGTATAATTTATTTGCCTTTATTTTGAGAAGGTTGAGAGTCGTGAGGGAAAATAAACCCTAGAGGAATATTGTTTTTAAGTTTTTCCGACGGATAAAGACATGTAGGCTTTTTCTAACATTTTTTCCAAAAAGAACATCTGCCACTCTAATTCCATGAAAGGTATAAAGAATTAAAGAAATTGTGATGAACAGCCCTATATGTGGAGCTCATGAAGCTCAGAGGATTGGGAATGGAATTGATAGGTTTAGGCTCGAATCAGAACTTCCGGATTTAAGAAAACAAAACAGGCTGGGCGTGGTGGCTCATACCTGTAATCCCAGCACTTTGGGAGGCCAAGGTGGGCAGATCACTTGAGGTCAGGAGTTCAAGACCAGCCTGGCCAACATGGTGAAACCCCGTCTCTACTAAAAATGCAAAACTTAGCCAGGCCTGGTGTCGCGCACCTATAATCCCAGCTACTTGGGAGGCTGAGGCAGGATAATCGCTTGAATCTGGGAGAGGGAGGCTGCGGTGAGTACAGATGCACGGATTGGGCCACTAAACTCCAGCCTGGGAGACAAGGCGAGGCTCTTTATCTCAGAAAAACAAAACAAAAGGAAAATGCAGATTGCAGATTCCTGGGCCTCCTCCCTCCAACACCGTCAGAGGGTGCACGGAGTAGGTCCCTACTGCATGAAGAGCAGCATCCTAGGTGCCCCGTGGCTGCACCAAAGCAGCAGAAACCCGTGGTGTGCCTGAAGATGCACGCTCCACAGCTGTACGCAAGGCTTCCAAGTCTACGTCTCGGCTTCCCTGACAGTGTCCATGCGGCACTGTCACCGGTTTCTCCTCTCACAAGCAGAAAATCAAATTCGAACTGGGCAAATGATTCCCTGCCCGGGTGTGGGAGAAGGGTCAAGTCCCAAGTATGGAGAAAGGGGCGGCTCCCGCCGGGATCAGCGAAGCTCCGGAGGGGAGGCAGAGCCAGGCCAGGCACGGACGGGAGAGGAGGCGGCGGGAGGGCGCCGCCCAGTGCCTGCAGGCCGCGCGCCCGCCCGCCAGGCGCTCCCCGCTGCACCCTCCATTCCCCTCCTGAGGCCCCGCCCGGGAATCCCCTCCCCGCCCCGCGTCTGTTCGAGGGCCGCGAGGCCAGGCCGCTCACCCGACGGCGGCCGCAACCCGGCCCTGACCAGCGACCGCCCGGTCCTTCCCTTCGCTCCGCGCGAGCGCCACCACCCGTCCTTACCCCCATCCAGTCCGAGGCCAGCCCCTTGGGCTCCGAGCCTGCTCCCTGAGAAGCGTTTCTCCCAGAAGGAGAGTTACTGGAAAGCAAGCGGAAGCCGAGGAGAGGCGGCGACGGCAGCTCGCTCGCGGAGCCGGGCGGGAGCGCGGGGGAGTCCGGCCGCGTACCGGGCCGCGCGGTGTCCCCTCAGCGCAGAACGCGGCGCGGCGCCAGCGCCACCCAGCGGGCGTGGCGGGAACTGCGCTCCCTCCCTGCGCGGGGGCTCCGGACACACAGGAGACCGAGAACGACGCCTGTAACCGGATAAACGCTCGGGGCGAGGCCGCTATTGTCCCTCTGCCGGGAGTGAGTCAAGTCCCAGCAAAAGAAGAAACCGCCTAGGTCATACTTCCTCGAGTGCTGATGAAGACGGTGACATCTGACATTTCAATGGCACTTTCTATTCCCCCTGGTGTGCAGGACCGTAACCTGTCGGAGTCTCGGAGCCCCGGAGCCCGGGATTAAACATTACTCGGGAGCACTCATTCATTCCCTGGGTTCCCCTTGCCCTTCACCCTCTGGCCCCTGAAGCCGGAAGGGAGACTGCCCCCGTTCCCTACCTGCCGCCTGGGTGTCTCCCGGGGCCCTCGTGGTCCCTCTCTCTCAGCCCTCCAAACGGTGAAGAATTGTTTCTGCTGGTGACTTCCATCTGTGGGAGCAGAAAAAGGAAGTGGGGCTGGGGAGAAGGGGAGGGCGTTAGGCGTTTCCTCTCCTTGCGCTGCAAGCGGGGTGGGAATAGAATACCTGCAGCCCTCCAGCCCTCCCCGGCGCCCTGCTAAGGAGGTGGAAGTGGGAACGCCACCAGGGCAGAGCCCCTCCAGCTGGCCCGGTCTGCGCCTCCACCCTGCCTGGCCGCCTCAAAACGCGGCTTGCCTCCCTGCGGGGGTGTAGAAGCCTCTTGGAGCACCACTTGTAGAAAATCAGGTCCCTGGGCCAGGCGTGGTGGCTCACACCTGTAATCCCAGCACTTTGGGAGGCCGAGGCTGGTGGATTGCCTGAAATCAAGAGTTCGAGACCAGTCTGGCTAACATAGTGAAATTCCATCTCTACCAAAAATACAAAAATTTAGCTGGGCGTGGTGGCGCACGCCTGTAGTCCCAGCTACTCGGGAGGCTGAGGTAGGAGAATCGCTTCAACCTGGGAGGCAGAAGTTGCAGTGATCTCCTGCTGTCACCCAGGCTGAAGTGGAAATCACGCCACTGCACTCCAGCCTGGGTGACAGAGGGAGACTCTGTCTCAGAAAGAAATAAAATCAGGTCCCTGGAAAGAAGCAAAATTAATCCATTTATTTGTTTCTCTATTTATTTTTACTTCCCTACACAAGGTATTCACTTCAAGGCTGCCCAGTGTCCCCTCCCACCCAGAGGAATTTCCCCTCTCCAGCCCAGGCCAACGGCCTCTGCCTCCAGCTGTGGCCTCCACTCTGGCCTTACTCTGGGCAGAGGGCTCAAGAGGGCTGAAGGAGGACCAGTGACATTCAGAGTGGCCAGAGTAAAGGGAGGGAGGTAAGTGGTGGGAGAGGCATTTGGAGGGCACAGGCGGAGGGCACGGGCCTCTCAGCATAGCAAAGGCTATGATGGGCTTGAGTCTGACAGGAGGGCAATGACCTGACCTACGGTTTTGAAAGATCCCACTGGCTGCCACCTGGAGAGCTGGTGTGGGGAAGATAGCCATGGTGGAAACAGGGAGACAGGAGATCCCCACAAGTGACCGTGCTGCCCAGGCAAGTCTGGTAGCAATCGAAATGGGGAGAGGAGGTCAGATTTGGGATCTGTACCCGAAGGTGGAATGGACAGGAATTGCTGATGGGCTTGGGCGTGGTGCCTGAGGGAGAGAGAGAAATAAGCATCATTCTTAGGATTTGTCTGAGCAACTGTAAGAATAAGAACAACAGTGGCCAATACAGTTAGCCAGACACGCCTCTAAACCATTTATTTACTTATCTATTTATTTATTTTTGAGATGGAGTCTCACTCTGTCACCCAGGCTGGAGTGCAGTGGCGCAATTTTGGCTCACTGCAACCTTCGAATCCTGGGTTCAAGTGATTCTCCTGCCTCAGCCTCCCAAGTAGCTGGGACCACAGGTGCATGCCACCATGCCCAGCTAATTTTTTATATTTTTAGTAGAGACAGAGTTTCACCATGTTAGGATGGTCTCGATATCCTGACCTCGTGATCCTCCCACCTCAGCCTCCCAAACTACTGGGATTATAGGCGTGAACCACTGCACCTGGCCTACCTTTCATATATTTTAAGCTGTTTAGATTTCATAACACTCCTATGAACTAGGCATTAGTGCATCCCGCATTTTACAGAAGAGGTCATTGAGCCCCAGAGAGTTGAGTCAGTTTGCACCTTTAGCAAATGGAAAAGCTAGGATTTGGGCCCAATGCTTCACCACTGCACACTTCCCCAGCTTTACAGAAAGAGGATTACCATGAACTGAGATAGATAAGCCCGTGGGAGGAATGGGGTTTTTCCATGGGGGTGTGAATCAAGAGTTCTGGTTGGAATGAATTCAGGCTGAGGTGCCTTTTAAACATCCAAGTAGAGATATTTAGTTCAGCAGATAGACGTATGACTCAGGCCCTGGGTGGTAAGGAGGAGCGTTTGGGGCTTGAGTGTTAACCAGAGAGAGGAGACAGGAGAATAGGGCAGAAGGCTGGGAAGTGGGATTAAGAGCTGCCCATGAACGGATGAGGACAGAAATGGATACTTCTGAGCATGCTGTCGAGCCTTGGGGTGTCAGGTAATGAGAGGGTTTAGGAAATGTTATTCTGGAGCAGTGCTTGTTTTCGTTTGAGGATTCAATAAAAGCTCTCACCTTGTTCCAGAAAAAGTACATGTGCACACACGCAACATTTTGCATACAATTTCAGGGTGTCTGTGGGTCCCCAGAGGATATGCATGGGCCATTCAACTGTTTCTATCAAACCTCCCTTCAGGCACCAGCCACAGTCAGATTTCACTACATCTCACAAGTTCTGAGCAGACCCCCACACAAGTTCTGAGTGGGGTGCAGTCACTCCACCCTCTCTGTCTGCATGAGATAGGAGCTGCACTCCTCTGGAGGGTCCGAACTGAGACAGCTTTGAATGTCTATGTAGAACACAGCTCCCCGCCCCCACCCTGCAGGTGATGCCTGTGTACATGTCCCGTTTGGATACGGTTCCCCTGAGGAACAGGAGAATGAACCTACAAAGTCCTTTGCTCTCTTATTCACCTGGGAGGTGATGTTATTCATCTATTTCCTAGATTTATTTGTTTTTTCTTTTCTTTCCTTTTTTTTTTTTTTTGTTTGTTTTTGTTTCTGTTTTGAAATGGAGTCTCCCTCTGCCCAGTCTGAAGTGCAGTGGTGTGATCTCAGCTCACTGCAACCTCTGCTTCCCGGATTCAAGCGATTCTCCTGCCTCAGCCTCAGCCTCAGCCTCCCAAGTAGCTGGGATTACAGGCGCCCACCACCACACCCAGCTAATTTTTGGGTTTTTAGTAGAGACTGGGTTTCACCATGTTGGCCAGGCTGGTCTTGAACTCCTGAACTTAAGTGATCCACCCATCTCAGCCCCCTAAAGTGCTGGGATTACAGGCGTGAGCCACCGCACCCAGCCTTATTTCCTAGGTTTAATGAGAAAACTAGCTCATTCCACTGTTTCCATCAACACAATTGCTTCCCCTATATCAAATGAGCATTTGTTGCTATTGCTTTGTTTGTTTTGGCTGTCCAGCTTCCAGCACCCTCTCTATTTGGGAGGAATCCTTGGTGCCACTTGGCAGGAATCCATCGGCTCCTCTGGAATGGAAGGAACCAGGTGTCCCCCTTGTCCCCTACCCCTGCAGAGCTTGCAGCCTTCCTATCCCACCCAGCCCAGTGGGGCTTTGAAGGCTAAGGTGCAGGGACAGAAGAGAACTTATTTTTGGCCATGGCAGCTAGGCCAGGAGACCATCTGTGAGAGCAGCATCCCACGTCCTGTGGCAGCAGTCCTGGCGGGGGTATCCTAACCACAGTGTGGCTACGGCTTGGCCGCGTGTACATCTCCTGCTGCCAGCCTGCCTTGGTACCTGCCCATTTCCCCAGTGTGGTTCTCCAGCCTTCCAACTGCTAAGTTCTATACTCAACCCCATGTCCATTTCCTGCACAAGTCAGCCAGGTCAGCTCTGTCGCTCCGCCAAGAGCTCTCACTGCAGTGGCACGCTGAGTTTGCAGCAGGGGTTCCATTAGTGCACACTCTAGGGTCCTTTATGGTTAATAAAATATTGAACCACTTCCATACTGGATGGTAAACAGCTACTGCCCTGAGCCCCAACCCCCAACCCCGTGGCTACCTGCCCATCATTCTCTGGTCCTTTCCCAGGACTGGCCAGGTGTCCCCACAGCCCAGCAGCTAAGGGTTCTACCTTGCACAGGTTCTGGTGAGGGTCCGGGGTTAAGTATTTGGGGTATCACCCCACCCATGAGTGTTCTCAGCACACAATCACTCAGGGTGAGAGATATGCCTATTTTCAGGTCTCCATACACCCAGCCACCCTATCCCACCACTTCCCACCACCAAATTAATATCATGCTCATCCTTCTCACCTCATCCTAGCCCAACCTCTGTCAGGAAACAGTCCTGAGTCCATAGCCCCCGGATTTCCCCATCACACCCGAAGCACTCCGCCTCCTACAGATCCTGCTTCCTAAATATGTCTCTCTCGAAGCTCTTTGTAAGTCTTCAGTATCTCCTTAGCCAGATGGCCAATCGATTGGTTACAGAGCCTTGTCTTCTCATTTTCTGGCAGCAGATAAGTGCGGCTGGGATCTATGGGGCCAGAGCCAGAGAAGCAGAGGTCCCAGGCCACACCTGAAAAGGGAAGTTCCTGAAAGAGGCCAAGCAAGAGGAGCCCCAATGCCGGGGTGCTGTGAGCAGTGGTGGGCTGGTCAGTGTGCAGAACTGGTAAAGCTGGTGGGGCTCAGGCAAAGAGGTGAAAGGAAGGGTCACACCTGGAGCAGAAGGAAGGCGTGATGCAAGGCCAGCTCAGTCACAAACCCTGCGTTGGCGGCAGGTGCCTTCCCTCTGCGCCCATATGGCCTGGAAGTGATCGGCTCCAGCTGAACAGGTAAAAGGTTAAGCAGTACTCATCCCAGTTCAGGAGTTGTCCCTCCCACCCACCCGAATGGCAAGGAAGTTGCGGGGAGGGGACCTTGCTCTGTGCCACAGCTAATACCGGAGAATAGAATTTGGGAAACTTGAATCACAGTTTCCTATAACGTGTCGTGATTGCTTAGAAACTACATGTCTCCCCCTCCCCCTGGTTGCCAGGGATCAGTGGCTCCTGGCGAGTTTGCTTTAAATCTCTCTGTCCCCTGCCAATTAGCCAGTTTGACTTTCTGCTGTGGCAGGAATGAAAGTCACTATTGAGCGCTAGACGCGGATCCTGGGGGAGGAATCTCATTGCCTTGGAGATGGAATCTAGGCTTGGCACTGCCCGTTCAGTCGCTGGGTGTTACTTTGGGTTGACTCACAGCCCAGCATAAAGCAGGAGGCCAATCTTTGTGTACCCCACAACTTTTCCTTCTCCAGCTTTATCCAGACAGTGGCTTCTGCTGACCAGCTGTTTACCCCCTTACTTGATATGCACTTGCCAAAGCCTGCAAGCCAGAGGACCCCACAGCTCAGTCCAAAGCATTCAACCTTTGGCCTACTAGGATCTCAGCCACACCCCAGAGTCCCAAAGAGAAGTGACTCAGATTGGAAACAGTGGCTCCAAATGACCTCAGGTGACTCACAGCAAACAGACTGAAGGTGACACCCAGCGACTCACCTATAAACTCAATTTGTCATTTACCCAACCGTGGCTGCCACCTTTCCCAGCTCGTTCACCCAGCTGTTTTAAATGTGGGCACACCAGCTTAATCCCAATCTTGCCTGCCCTAACACCACAAGTCGCAACTCTGGCTACCTGTTAGAATCACCTGAGGAGCATTTGAAACCACAGAAGCCCCAGGCCTCCTTCCTGCAGAGATCTTGATTTAATTGGTCCAGGATGGGCCTGGGCATCCGTATGCTTTCAGAGCTCCCCAGGTGGGATGTTTGTTTGTTTTGTAGAGATAGGGTTTTCCCCATCTTGCCCAGGCTGGTCTTGAACTCCTGAATTCAAGCAATCCACCCGAGTCCGCCTCCCAAAGTGCTGGAATCACAGGCGTGCGCCACTATGCCCAGCCCCCAGGTGGTTTTAATGTTCAGTGGTCCCGAGAACCAGGGCTCCACCATTCAATTCTGTGAGGGAGGAGGATGCTGGACAGACATGCTATTTTCATGTTCAACTCAGTTACCAGCACATCTGCAGCCTGGCTCGTGCCTTCAGCAAAGGACCTGCTGGTGTGAATGCTTGCTCATTTCTGACCCAAAATCCTCCATATTTTTTTTCTGCATCCAACTCTTTCTCTTTGGGTTTTAGTAATTTTTAAGTTTTTGCTTAATTCTCTGGACTGTGAGTTGAGAGTCTCAGTTTATGAAACACACATTACCAAAAAACCTAGTTATGGAAAAATTGGCTGAGATGAGGTGAAAAAGATCTCGTTCTTACATAATTATGGATTCTCAATCTGTTTCATTTTGTTTATATTTGTTTCTCTGGAGAAATACTTTGTTATACATCATATATGTTTTTTGATCTCTATATATTTTTGTTTTAGCTTCAACTTTGGACACTTGAACATACACAAAAGTAGACAGAATAGTACATGAATTACTACAAACTTACCCACTCTCCTGCCCCAACAATGGCCAAACCAGCCCCATCCCCACACCCATCAGTTTAGTGCATCTTCTATTATTTTGAATCAAATCCCAGATATCACACTATTTCCTCTGTGAATGATTTAGCAAATCACTTAGAAAGAACTTGTGTATCATAACCACTATTGTGTTACACATCAAAACTAATGAGCAATAATCCTAGAATTTAAATTTCCCAATTGTCTCAAAACTGTCCTATGTGAATTTTTAAAAGGAATTTGAGCTGGGCAAGGTGGCTCATGCCTGTAATCTCAGCACTTTAGGAGGCCGAGGGGGGCAGATCATCTGAGGTCAGGAGTTTGAGACCAGCCTGGCCAACATGGTGAAACCCCATCTCTACAAAAAATACAAAATTAGCTGGGTGTGGTGGTGAGCACCTATAATCCCAGTTATTTGGGAGGCTGAGGCAGGAGAATCACTTGGACATGGGAGGCAGAGGAGTGAGCTGAGCTGAGATTGGGCCACTGCACTCCAGCCTGAGTGACAAGAGTGAAACTCCGTCTCAAAAAAAAAAAAAAAGAATTTGAATCAGGGTACAAATGAGATGCAGATGTTGAAACTGGCTGATATAACCTTTTAGTCTGTTTTAGTCTATAGGTTACCTCTCCTTTTTTTTTTTTTTGAGATGGGGTCTTGCACTGTGGCCCAGGCTGGAGTGCAGTGGCTCGACCTTGGCTCACTGCAGCCTCTACCTCCCGGGTTCCAGCAATTCTCCTGCCTCAGCCTCCCAAGTAACTGGGATTACAGGCACGTGCCACCAAGCTCAGCTAATTTTTGTATTTTTAGTAGAGACGGGGTTTCACCCTGTTGGCCAGGCTGGTCTCAAACTCTTGACCTCAGGTAATCCACCCACCTCAGCCTCCCAAAGTGCTAGGATTACACTTGTGAGCCACTGCTCCCGGCCTCCTCTATCTTTTTTATTTTGCAATTTATTTGTTGAAATTACTGTTGTTTATCCTGCAAATTTGTTCACTGTCTAAATATTGCTGGCTACCTCCATACCATGTAGTTTAACATGCTGTCTGTCCCTTCCTTCCCTGTAAATTGGTACTTGGATATAGAGCTTAGTCAGATTCAAGTTTGATGTTGGTGGTGGGATATTCTTCAAACAGGAAGCAAAAGATGTCTGGTTGCCTTTTTCCACAATATTAGATGCTACAGATGATCAATGCTTGAATCCTTCAGCTCACTAAACATTTCAAATTAGTGATATGTGATTCTAGCATTCCTCTTTCATAGATGTATTCCAGTTTCTAAGTGAAGGAAGAATACTAGAAGCAGATATTATTATTTATCTATTAGTGGACACCCAAGATAACTGCTCGGTTACTTCCCTTTATTTACCATTTTCAGAATAATGAATTGGTGTCCAAGCATCCTCCAACAGTAAACATCGGAGCTTGTTTTTAGTGTCATTATGAATGCATGGATTTTAACACACTTCATGTGTTTCAGTTTGTTGCATTACTGCCCAAGCGGCTCCATTTTGGCCAGTGGGACTCTCTTGTAGTTGGCTTTGGAATCCTTTAGACATACTCTTATTTTGTACATTTTCTGCCCAAATTTAGAATCATTTATTTCCCCAAGAGGCTCTGATTCCTCTAACAAGAAATGGTATTTGGAGACCTCACTCTGATGTCAGGAGCTTTCCTTCCTTTTATCTGACAAAAGTGTCCTCAAATTTTAGTTCCTCTATCATGGCCTGTTTTCAAGGTTCATGCATGCATCAGCACTCCATTTATTGTGTGGATATACCACGTTTCAGCTGTCCATTCGTCATCAGCTGATGGACATTTGAGCTGTTTCCATGCTTTGGCTGTTATGAATAATGCTGCTTTAAACATTCAGGCACACGTTTTGGTGTTGACATGTATTTTCAATTTTTTCGTGTTTATATAGGAATGGAATTTTTTGGTCCTACAGTAACTCCATGTTACTTTTTTTTTTTTTTGAGACAGAAAAACTCTGTCTCCCAGGCTGGAGTGCAGTGGTGATCTCGGCTTACTGCAACCTCTGCCTTTTGGATTCAAGTTATTCTCCTGCCTCAGCCTCCGAGTAGGTGGGACCACAGGCACGAACAACCAATCCCAGGTAATTTTTGTATTTTTAGTAGAGACAGGGTTTCACGGTGTTGTCCAGGCTGATCTTGAACTCCTGACCTCAGGTGATCCACCTGCCTTGGCCTCCCAAAGTGCTACGATTATAGGCATGAGCCACTGTGCCCGGCCTCCATGTTACATTGCTGAGGAACTGCCAAACTGTTTTCCAAAGTAGCGGCATCATTTCACATATTCAGTTTGATGAATTTTTACAGATAGTACACACCCATATCCTCCCTGCCAGATCAAGAATAGGACATCAGCACTCTATAGAGAACCCTATTTTTACCTCTGTCACACTGGATTAGTTTTGGTGGCCAGGACTTGAGAGGTGACCCAGGAATGCTTCCTCTGGAGAACGCAGCGTTAGCAAAGGCACAGTGGCCGAGGCAGGGCAATCCAGGCTTTACATTCTGCATGACAAGGACCCAGATTCTCCTGTTGTCCCTCCGAGGCCTGGTGAGCAAGCTGGTCTCCTCCTCCCCTGCCCCATTCCTGCACAGCCAGCACAACTTTTCAAAGGAACAGCAAGCAGGGGGTGTTTTGAATTGGGATCTCCTGGGAGGCAGAGCAGGGGGACCATGTGCAGTATGGCTCAGTTTCGTTCTAATGGAGGTCTGTAGCAGCAAGTGCCGTGGGGAAACCTGGCTTGTGGTGGGAACAGGAATCTGTCCTTACATGGCCCAGGCACAACTGTCCTCCCTGGGCCTGTGAGGCTCTGCTCACCTCCTACCTACTGGCCTTTCCTCTTTAGGAAAGACTCAGGTCCCCAGAGCCCCGCCCACAGCCAGCCGGTGAGGCAGGACTTTGACAAGTCTCCTGACTGCAGGGATGCTGTGTGGGCAGTTCGGCAGCACAGCCATCTGTTCTGCGGTGCCAAATGCTGGAGACCCAGGCTGCACGGGGAGGACTATCAGGTGGGGGCCCCTGGAGAGCTGGGCCTGCCACAGCCCCATTACCTTGAGGACTTTCTCCTGGCTCAGCAGTTCTCTGGCTTCCACCCTTTTCCCTGAACTGACCTTCTCTCTCCAGCCTCACCCAAGCACACATGCACAAATAACACTGAAGTCACTCAAAACTGCTTAGAGATACTTACCCCTGACCTGCAAACCCCCTACTTGCCAATGATCTTTCCATCCCAGCCCTTAACTCTCAGAAGTTGCTCCTGTCAGCTCCTTTAAGAGACAGAGAGTGCCACCCCATACCCGATCGGTACTGAAGGCAAGGCTTTCAAATACCATCCTCAGCACAGCCTGAAATTGTCACTCCCCTCCAGCCCACTGCCTGGGAACTTACCAATTAGAGGTTAATTTGGATACTCATTGAAACAGGCTGGGTATAATGGCTCACACCTATAATCCTATATAGGTGCCATCACACCTATAATGACACTTTGGGAGGCCCAGGCGGGAGGATCACTTGAGCCCACAAGGGGGGCTCAATTTAAGAAAATAAAGGAATGAATGGAAGTCTCTTTATTGCGAGTTCCAAATACTGGATTTGGGGTGGCCTTTTGGAACTGATGCCTCTGTGAGGGGCCACTGGCTTTCCTGTAGGCACAGATCAGCGGTGTCAGTCTTCCCGAGGCCCCCTGAAAATTCCAAAGAGGAAGTCGTGTGGCACCACGTGGGACCCAGGTCTAGACTTCCAGTCCGGTCTGATTGTCCTTTTTCCTTCCTTGCCACTTTTCCTTGTGAAGAGTTCAGTGGGCAGGGACCGGTGGGGCCCCAGCGCCCTCTGCTGGCGTGTTCTCACAGTCACCGTTTGCCTGCCTGGGCTTACACATAAGCAGGCTTGAGTTTGTAGGGCTTGAGGCAGGCTGGGAATGGGGATGTCTGGTTTTATTCCAGGTCCACTCCTCAGTGAATGTCAAGACCGAAGGTGGCTCCTGGTGATAAAATGAGCGTCAGGGTGGGCTCCCAGGCATAAGTAACCTAAATGAGAGTAGGTTTTGTTTCTGTTTTCACAGCCTTCCTAGTCCAAGTGCCTGAAAGTGTCAAGTGGAAATGGCTTCTTGCCCAGGCTCAGCGCTGTCCCTCTGATGTCAAATGGGCTCTGCGTGCTTTTGAGAGGTGCAGCCTGCTGCTCCCTATGTGAATGGGAGCGTTTTCTCCAACAGCCCTGTCCATGACAGGCCTGGCTCCGCACAGAGGCAGGGGCTGAGACTTCACTGATCAGGAAATCTTGGCCTCCCGCAGAGGCCCGCGGGCAGCTGGAGAGGAAGCCTAAAGCCTCAGTGCCTGCACTAGACCCTTTTCAGCTTCCTTCAGGATTGCAACAGCAGATAGGGGAGCAGGTGGGAATGGCGGGTGGGTAATGGCAAGGGAATGACCCCCAGGCTGTGGGCGGCCCCCTGTTTTCCATACAGCAGACCCCATGCTTACAGTGGTGGCTTCAGTGTGCCCTGGGCTCAGCTGGGAAGAGTTGTGAAGACGCAGGTTCAGATTCAGTAGATCTGGGATGGAGCCTGACTCTCAGACAGTGCTGATGCTGCCGGGCCAGGGACCACCTTGAGAGAAGCCAGAATGTTGAGGGAACAGGTTCTGAAGTCAGAATGCTAGGGTTCGAATTTCAGCTCTGCCACTTATCCTGTGACCTTGGACAGATTTCTTTCATCACCTTCTCTCTGAGTCTGTTTTATCCTGTATAAAATGGCAACAATGGCAGTTCGAATGGCTTCATAGAATGAGAGTGACTTCACAGGGTTGTTATAAGTATCAAATGAAATAATGTTGGAAAAGCTCTTAGCTCAGAACCTGCCATGCCCAGTCTCTTGATGTCCCCATGGCCTTTCGACAGGTGCTTAGAGATCCTGCCACTGTTCTGGGCCCTGGGATATAGCAGTGACAGAAACAAAATCTCCACGCTCAGAAAGCTTAGATTCTCATAGAAAAAGACGGCAAACAAATGAGTAAACTACATAGTATGTAAGTTGGTGATGAGTGTGCTGGAGAGAAATAAAGGAGAGTAAGAAAGATAAGGAATGCTGGGGCTGGGCCATTGTGATTTGCATGTGACCACAGGGAAACGGCCACTGAGAAGGTAACTTTGAGGCGAGGGAGCTGGCCAGCTGGAGGACTGGGAATTCTAGTGGTGGGGGGAGGGTGGGGGATGTATTTGTAAGTGCAGAGGCCCTGAGGCAAGAGGATATGTGTTGTGTTTGAAGAAAAACAGGGAAACCAGCATGGCTAGAAGGTGCGAGTGAAATATTGTCTGGGGTTAGGAGTGGGGAAGGCAGCAGGGCAGATCCTGTAGAGCTCTGTGAGCCACTGACTTTGCATTTTGCTCTGAGAAAAACTGGAAAACTGGAAAGTTCTGAGCTGAAGAGTGACATGTTCTAACTTATGTTTTTAAAGGACAGCTTCAGCTTGCTGAGACTAGACTGTGGGGAGTCAGGGTAGCAGCCCTTGGGAAAGTGGGTGGGCAGCCCATTGCCTTGGAATTAGGGGATCCTGAGAGCTGCTGAGTCTAAGAGAGATGGATCTGGGCTCCAGTCAGAAGGGTTGTATGCATGAGCCCATCCTCAGCCACCTTCTGGGCAGGCCTGTGGCCTGTGACCCGGGAGAATGGACACTATGAGTGGGCACTGTGCCAGGGCCATGGCAGTGAAGGGGTGGATGACACAGCCTGGCCTCCTCCTGGGCCTCCCCTCTTAATTGCTCCCGGATGACTCACCCCCATGTCTCTCTGATGACCGCCTGAGTCAGGGCCTGGGGCTGCCGCACCTGTTACCTGTGGGAGGGCTGGGGCAAGACAACTACACCTCACTCTGTTGTCACTGGCCCCCAGAGTGACAGGAGTGAGATGCTGTGTTACAAGGGACCCACCCCGTCCTCTGGAGCAGCCAGTCCTGACCCCCACACCACTCACATGTTCCTATTGTTTAATTTCCTACCTCCTGTCAAAACAGCTGTAGGTCATTTGTTTATTTTTTGAGGTAGATAAAAATTCATTTCACTGCAGTCCTTCCATGACGAATGTTAGTCAATGTGTCAGGAAACAGTCTGTGAATTGAAGGCCTTTGATCCTGGAAAGGCCACTCTGACCTCATGGTTACCATTGACACAGCAGTAATTAAAAAATCAAATTCCTCCATATATACTCATTTAATTCTCACAACACTCCTATTAATTAGATGTCATCATCCCCACATTCTAGAGGAAAATGCTGTCTCAGAGAGGCCAAGTGACTTGTCTGCAGCACCCACCGATTTGTATCCAGATCCGGCGGGCTGCACCTCTGAGCTCCCCCTGCCTCACCTGCTATCCCTGAAAGCGCTGCCGGCCCCAACAGGGCAAAGGGAGCCAAGTGCCAGGCCAGGAGTCAGAAAACCTGCACTACAGTCTCAGCCTGACCACCAGGCAGGGTGCTTCGCTCATGCCTCTGGACCTCAAACCCCTCGCCTGCAAATGGAAGAGCCTGATCGGACCATCTCCCAAGATTTTTTCTGTGTGGCCCTAGTGAAGCCTTGTTTGGTGGTAATAGAAGCCCACTCTGCCTAAAGAGGAAAGGGTGATACAGTTCAAGAGGCCAGGAAGCCCTCAGAGCTAAGGCAGGAGCTACAACTGGACCAAGAGGGCCTGGGACCCGAGGAGTTTTGGCTCTTGCAGACCCCTCTGCACTGAAGGACCTTTCCCTCTCCTCCTCCATGTCATTCTTTCCTTCTGCTAACTGGTTTTCTTTTCCTACAGACCGGCTTTTTCTGCATCTTCAGCTAATGGTGGCAGATGGCAACGCAGCTCCCAGTTACACATCTTCATTTGTGGGGCCAACTGAGCTCTCTCACCAAATTCCAATTCCAAATCCCCAGGGAAAGGAATCCAACTGGGTGAGCTCAGTTGGGCATCCACCCTGGCCCAGCCAACTGGCTCCTGATTACGTCCGGGAGGGCAGAGTCCCATAGCACAGAAGTAGGGGCTGGGTCAGGGAGATGCCCCCACTGCTCTGTCCACAGGACAGGAATAGCATTTGTAGAAGAGACAAAGTCAAGTATCATTCTGCTCCAGAGGAGGTGACAGTGAGACCTACAGAAAAAGCACGAGCTTGCCAGGAAAGCTGGCCCGTGCACAGCATCAGCAGGAATGCCTGGCGGTGGCTCCCTGCGGGTCCCTCCCCAGGGGCACACAAAACAGCTTTTTGACAGCCAGGCAAGCCTGCCCTGAAACACACACAGCTGTCCTGTCGCCCATGAGTTGGGCAATGTGGGACTGGGGCATGAAGGAGCTTAGGAAAGGTCAAGGGATGGGGACGGCAGAGATCACTGCCACCAGTCCTCTGCACTGAATTAGAGCTGCAGCATCATTTACATAAAGAAGATAGCACCTCAGCAGATTGTGGCAGCTCGGTTTCCCTGATGACCTTGCTTCCGTTCTTAAAACTGGCACCTACATAGGCTGGAAGCAGACTCATTCATCAAGTCAGCCAGCCTGGCACAGACATGGTGATGGATGTATATTTCCAGACATGATCTGGGATGGAAACTGGATAGTAAGGAGAATTTTGGGGGGGGATTTCCCTCAAACCTGCTCAGTCCCAGAGGGCTCCATGTGACAGGAGACCCCTGTTGGCACCCCAGAACCCTCAGGTACGTCCACAGTCCCAAGGCCAAGAGCCAGGAGGGCAGGAGCAGGTCAGGAGGGCCAACATGTGAATCCCTCAGGCTGGGCAGCACAAGTTCCACCAAAAAATACTTCCTCAGCCCCTGCCAAGTGCAGGGTTCTGACCTCCATGTGAGGATGAAGATGAAGACAGCATAAGCTCTGCCTCTGGAAACCGCCATCTGCATGGAGAGGAAAGGCATATGCAGGCTGGAACAGTAAGGGGAAATGCCTCTACATGGCTGAGTGACCTAGTCCTTGGGCCCCTGGGGAGCTATGAGAGCAGAGGGCAGTGCAGCAGGGGTGACGGGAGCTGCCTGGAGCTCAGAGAAGAAGGGGAGCGAAGGCAAAGACATGGGAATGTGAAGGGCACATTTGGGCCCCTAGAATGTGGTGTTTACAGATAGGAACCGGGGAGAAAAGGTGAAAAATAAGTTAATGTCGGAAATGCAAGGTCTTGAACAGCAGGTTAAAAAGTTACGTCTGTAATCCCATAAGTGATCGGCTGTGGGGATGGTGTTTGAGCAAGAGGGTGAGTTGGAGCATAAAGTAGTGGTTAGGGAGGAAATCTCTGGAAGTGGCCTGGACAAGGGGTTCCAGGCTGTGAGAAGAAGCTCCTGGAGTCCAGCGGACTGGGTCAGAAGCTACTGGATACAGCTCAGGACCCAGACACCAAGAGCATGGATTAGAGTGTGTATGGGAGCAGGGGAAATTCAGGAATAAGCATTTGAAATGGTTAAAGACTCCATGGGACCTGGTCGCTCATTTGCTATGTATGGGAGGCCGAGAAGATGTGAAGCTTTAATGATTAATGTGGTGCCAAGGGCAGAAAAAGGGCTCCATAGCCACGCAGCCACCGAGTGGCAGGGGCAGGGCATCATTCATGAATTCTACACAGTCTCTGCCCTTAAGGACCTCACATCCTCTTTTTTTCACCCTCGTCTCTTAGGAAAAGGCCCTAAGAAGCCATTAAAAATATGCCATAGAGGAAGTGATCAAAGTGAAACGGGGAAGCTTTGCAACAGATACTTCACTTATATTCTCAGTCCTCAAAATAACCAGAGGAGCTCTGGGGCCAGCTGCTCAGGGCAGCGGGCTCTGAGCTCCTCAGCACTCCAGGTTTCCTCCAAGAATGTCTTGTCCAGGGCACCAAGTGGACAGGCTGGTGAAAGCCCTGTGGGGGGATGAGGTCCAGCCTTTGGCCAGAGATCAGCCTGTGCTCTAGCTGTCAGAGAACTGGAAGGACAAGGACTCCCGTCAGCAAGGCAGGCAGAGAAGGGTTTGGGGACACGGCGGGGAGTTTGGTTTCGGCTGTGTTGAAGTTGACAGGATGACGAGGCCCTGAAACAACACCCAACAGGATTGCTTGGGTGTCCTTAAACATGGCAGCTGGCTTCACCCAGAATGAGTGTCCAAGAGAGAGCGAGACGGAAGCCACCACATCTTCTATGACTTAACCTCAGAATACACATCTCTTTTGCCATGTTCCATTCATCAGAAGCAAGTCACTCTGTCCAGCCCACACTTAAGGGGAGAGGAACTGGGTTCCTCTTGAAGGAAAGAGTATAAAAGGAGTATCCAAGAATTCATAGCCTAGTTTAAAACCAACAAAGCACAGAAGTGAATGTGCAGTGTTCCCAAGTGTTTGGAGGCTTGGTAGTCAACGGACAGAGTCCGGGAAATCCTGCAAGATGGCGGGCAGAACAATGTCCTGCAGAGATGTCCGTGTTCTAATTCCCTGGACCTGTGAATATGTTATGTTACATGGCAAAGGGGAATTAGGGTTGCTAACTGGCTAACCTTAATATAAAAGATTATTCCAGATTATCCAGGTGGGCTCAGTGTAATCACAAGGGTCCTTAAACAGGAAAGCAAGAGGCGGAAGAGTCAGTGTCAGAGTGATGAGGCACAAGAAAGGCCCCATAGCCATTGCTGGCCTTGGAGACGGGAGGGACCATCAGCCAAGGAAGGCAGGTGGCCTCCAGAAGCCAGGAAAGGCCCGGAAGCAGATTTTTCCCTAGAGCTTCCAGAAGGGATGCAGTTGCGCTGGCACCTTGAGTCTAAGAAGACCCATGTTAGGTCCATTTCTTGTTGTTTTAAGCCATTAACTGTGTGGTGATCTGTGGCAGCAGCAACAGGGAACTAATACAGAGCTCTGCCCACCCTTCTCCTTTGCCCCATCTCGGATCCATTCCTGCTCCCATCACATGCTGATGACGACGGTACTTATTTCCACAGAGTCCATATTGTTGCTTTTTCATGTTTATCTGAAGCACCAAATACATTGCTCATTACTTTGCAGCCACTAAGAACCCGACCCGGAGAAAAGGGAATCTTTGTACACTATTGGTGGGAATGTAAATTAGTATAGCCACTATGGAGAACAGTTTGAAGGCTGTTCCTCAAAAATCTAAAAATTGAGTCCCATGCCGGGTACACACCTACAAGAAAGGAAATCAGTTTCGCAGACATAGGTGCACTGCCATGTTTGCTGCAGCACTGCTCACAATAGCCAAGACTTGGAAGCAACCTCAGTGCCCATCAACAGAAGAATGAAGAAAACCTCGTACACATACACAATGGAGTGCTATTCAGCCATAGGAAGAATGAACTTTTGTCATTTGCGACAGGGTGGATGGAACTGGAAATTATTATGTTCAGTGAAATAAGCCAGGTACGGAAAGACACACATCACATGTTCTCACTTACTTGTGGAATCTAAAAATGAAAACAATGAAACTCATGGAGATAGAGAGTAGAAGGATGGTTACTAGAAACTGGGAAGGGTTGTGGGGGGCTTGGGGGGCAGGTAGGGATGGTTAAGGGGTACACAAAGTAGAATAAATAAAACCTGCTATTTGATAGCACAACAGGGCAACTACAGTCACAACCGCACATTTTTGAATAACTTCGAGTGTAATTGGATTATTTGCAACTCAAAGGTTAAATGCTTGAAGGGATGGATACCCCATTCTCTATGGTATGCTTATTTCACCTTGCATGCCTTTGTCAAAACATCTCATGTACCCCATAAATATAGACGCCTACTATTAAATGTATATTTCTTAACACATACCCACAAAATTAAACATAATAATAAAATAAAATTCCAAAAAAGAGAACTTGGCCAATTATTTATTAGACTGTAGACGCAGCCAGCTTAGCAAAGAGATGAAACAAGTAGGAACTGGTGTGAAATAAAATATAAACTCGCATGATTCCTCCTCCTTCAAATTGAAGCCAGGGCAGGACAGTTTATGGAACACTGCTCTGTATCTTCTTTACTGTCATTTCAAGCTGGCAGTCAAGCTTCACCTTCCCTGAGTCGGGGACTTTGGGGCAGGCACAGCATGGCCCACAGGAGGTTGGGTGGTCACTGGCTCCTCTCCACCTTTGTAAAAACCTGAGGCCTCTGAAGGAATGTTCCCTTTGGGGGTGGAGGGAGGGAGAGGAAACCTTCAAGGGGGTGAGAAGGATGGATCCCCATAACCCAAGAAAGCCACCCAGTTCCTATGAGCAGCAGGGCCTGAGTCCTGCTTGGTGACAAGACCTCAGGGGAGGGAGGCAGGCAGGACTCGAAGCCCAGGGGTTCCCTGTGTCACCCAAGACACCTGGGCCCCATGCACAGGTGCGAGCTGATTACATGGAGGGAGCAGCTGGGCCAGGCAGCAAGGTCTCTCCTGAGACCATACAGACTGATGTCTGCTGTCATCAAGGGCCCTCCCCATGATCGGACCTGGGACCTTTGCAGACCCAGGTGGAATGGAGGGAGGTGGTGTTTGGGAGGACCCTAAGATGACTAAGATGGAATTTCCCACCAGTCCATCAGGAAGCAGGGGGAGGGGCTGGAGTCTGAAATACACTGATATAGAACCAAAAAGAAGTGACCTCCATAAACTCAAGTTTTAGACTGGTACTCAAAATTATGACATCCCCTTTGGCTTTCAGTGAAGGTTTTTAATCTCCAATGGAGGCCTGGGGTAGGGGTGGTATTTCAGAGGACAAAAGCCCTGACTGTGCAGCTCAATGAGGGGGAGGTGAGGAACCGGAACTGCTGAGTGCCTCTGCGGCTGCACTAGGTTGGAAGCACATATTCGATGTCAGCAGGTCTGAGGAACAGATAAATCAGAAGGCAGCTCCACAAGCCAAGGGTGAAAAGGGTGCCCAGACCTGGTGTGAGTATTTCCCGCTGGATGGGGAGAAAGGGCAGGACCTGAGGTAAGGTCAGTTCTGCCACTGGTGGTGCACCCTCCCCATCGTGGGAGCCCCGGGCAGCTGCCTCTAGGCTGGGCAACCCAAATCCTCCTTCCTAGTGCCACATCCTCTATGACCGAGTGGCTGTGCTGGGTGGCAGTGTCTGCTAACAGCCCCTACTCCCTGCACAACCTCAGGAGAGGTGTGATGTGAATGCGGCAGGAGCACATGCCCTTGGGGACAAGGCGCCTGACTGAGACAAGGCACACCTTTATGGAGCTACCTACCCCTGATTGTAGTTGTTCTTTAGGACACACAACAAACATTTTCCTGCAGAGGACAGAAACGGCACAAGGAAGATCAATTTCCCCTGGTCAAGGGCAGCCTGCTAGGCACCATCTGACCTTGTTACAGGGAAGGACAGAATAAGAGGGTGGAGCTGGGGGGCAGGCGCCTCCAGGGTCAAGTCCTGCATGGTCACAGTTAAGGAGACTCCACAGGCCTAGAAGGCAAGGGAGGTCAGGGAGGGTCCAGGCTCGGGTGGCATCCAGAGGTCAGCAGGGGGCGCACCTGTCCCTTCACTACGATATGGCACAAGCTCCCGGAATTCACCGGGGAGAAGGAGCCAGGGGTCTGGCCCCAGTGCTGGGCTTGGGCAGGGCCTCACTTACACAGCAGGTCCTGCACTGATGCAGGGGATCCAGGGAGTCCTGTTTTGCTTTCTGAGGTGCCATCGTCTTCTTGTGAAGAGCAAAGGGTGCTCTGTTGGCTCCACCGGCTCCGTCCATTTTCTGGAGCCTGAGCTGTGGGTCTCCGTGAGTCTTTCCCATCAGCCTCAGGTCCTGCTGCTCTTTTGGTCCTCTTCTAAGGGGACGTGGGGAGAAGGGCCGGGGAGGGCAGAAAGTTGGGGAGACATTTTCCAACATGACAAGGAAATAACCAGTACACGGGTCACCACGGAAGGCCCTGACTCCTGGGGGCAGTAGGAGCCAAAACAACTTCAAGAGTCTGGGTATCCTCCAAACCCCAAAGCCATCCAGCAAAGGGAAGGGAGGAGACACCTTAGGGATGAGGAGAGACTTACAGCTTATGGTTCTTCTGTGTAATTATTAAAATGTCCATCTTCTCATCCATATCTTTCTGCATTTCCTTCAAGAGAGAATTCGGAACTAGCATCTTCATTTGAAGAGCTTTGGAAATGCCTTCCTCCCGCCTCTCTGCAAACCAGTCTGCCTCTTCCTCAGGAATCCTCACTAGACTTGGGTGAGGTGGCTTTGGAGTGTCCATGACATGGACAGCTTCTCCCCTTCTTCTCCCCATTCCCCGATGAGACTAAGGCACAGGCAGAGACATTAGGGGACTTTTCTGAAGTCTCTAGGTGAGCCAGAGACCAGCCCCTGTTTTACCTGATGTCACACTTTGGATAAAACCAGTGCTCACCTTGGTTTGATGCCTATAAAATGATGGAACCAAGAAGACCAATCTTGTGACCCCCAAAGACACTTCAACTGCAATGTTCTGACCCTTGCCATGCACCAGAGCCTGTGTATTTGTGTTTGCTTCATGTTTTACCTAATTCCTGGCAAAGATGGTCAGTAACAAGCAAAACTGATAGCATATGCACATCACATGTATTACTCACTCAGAACAGAGAGAATAATAAAATCTGGACAAAGTTTTGATCTATAAAATTTGACCTGGGTAAATTGAATGGAAATAGTGGACAGGAGAGAAATTCTACGATGACAGAAGCTATAATTGACAATATTTGTTACAGACAAAAACAGGTTTGGGTTTTTATAAAATAGAAATAAAAACAATTTGTTCCAATAAAATAATTTTCATTAAAAATGAAAGGTTTGGTAACAGTTTAATTGATCTACTGTAGAAAACTGATCAAGAAATTACACTGTCTACATAGAGATGATTTCATAAAATATCTTCTTGAAAAGCATTTTTAAATGTTAGTACAAATTTGAATAAAATATTTGTATTGATAGAGTCAAAATATCCTTGAGCTCAATGTCATAGGTCCAAAACATCAGAGTCGAAATGTCCCATATTCTTACACGTTTCGCCAACATGTACCCCTTCAAAATCATCATGTTCCAAACTGATTTCGTTTTCCCAAGCTAGCTCTATCTGCCCCACTGTCTTTGTCATTGTCACCACTTTCTTCTAATCATCCAGATTAAAATTTGATGTCATCGCGGACGCCTGCATCTGGAGACTTCAGTCTCTAGTCAACAAGAACGGTTATTTTTTCATTCCCTGTATCTTTCAGATTCACTCTTTTTCTTCTTTCTCTACACCTGCTCCTGCTCTGGGGTTCTTGCTGCCAGACATCTCCACCTGCTCCCAGGGCCCCACCCAGGCTGCCTTGCAAACAAACACCTGCTGGGCTAAGCTTTCTGAAGTGCTGCTCCCAGCATGTTCTTTAATCAAGAATCTCCAGAGGCCGCGTGATGCTCACAGAACCAAGTCCTAGCTTGTCTGCATGTCTTTCAAATGCATGTCCTTCATTACTACAGCCTTTGTGCCCATTCATTTTTTTCTTCCTCACTGTTTCCCCCAGTGGTCCCACTTCATGACTGATCTCCCTGCTGCCCATTGCAATGCGCTCCTCCTGCCTCCTGCCCTGCTCAAGCTGTTCCCCCACCTGAAATCGCCTCCTTCGTGCCTTTCCATACCAGCCTCCCCACCAACAAAACACTTATTTTGTTTGGATTTTAATAGAGAAATAATTAATGCATTCCCTTTGTAAAAAATTTAGACAATACAGAGGGATATAAAAGTATATTCTGATCCAGAAATAACTGCTATGAACACCTTTGGTACATTTCTTTCCAGTCTTTTTTCTGTATATTTGTTTTTCTTTTAAACCTAGCTGAGATCAGCCTATGTATATTACTTGTATCTTGCTTTTTTAGTTCTTGTTATAAACATTGTTTCTAAACATTATCTTTAATAGTTCCTAACTTTTATTATATGAATATTCCTTTTTTTTTTTGAGATAGAGTCTCATTGTCACCCAGGCTGGAGTGCAGTGGTGCCATCTTGGCTCACTGCAACCTCTACCTCTCAGGTTGAAGCAATTCTGCTGCCTCAGCTTCCTAAGTAGCTGGGATTACAGGCACCGGCCATCACACCCAGCTAATTTTTGTATTTTTAATACAAATGGGGTTTCACCATGTTGGCCAGGCTGATCTTGAACTCCTGACCTCAGGTGATCTACCTGCTTTGGCCTCCCAAAGTGCTGGGATTATAGGCATGAACCAGTGCACCTGGCCGAATATTTCATAATTTATTTGGCTATTCCCTTACTGTTGAAAATTGAGGTTTCCAATTTTTTACTATAAATAATCCTGTGATGAACATCTTTTTATGTATACCCATGATGGTGTTTCTGATTATTCTCATAGGTTAAATTCTGAGAAGTGGAATTGATAAATCAAGAGGTTGATTTTGTATATCTATTGTCTAATAATGTTCCAGTTTTGTAGAAATTTGCACTCTAACAGTATAAGAGCATTTATGCCTTGTACTATAATTGTCACAAATTAAAATTTTGTTTGAAACAATAATTGATTGTTCATTTGCATGTATTTAATTATTCATGAGGTCAGACCTTTTTAAAATATGTCTATTGCTTTTCAGTTATATTCTCTTCTGTGGATTGTCTGTTCACAGGCTTGTCTATTTTCCTACTTAGTTCTTATTGGTTTATGTGAACTTTATATGTTATGGATAAAAACCCTTTCCCTGTGCTTATATTTGTGGAAAAATGTTCCCCCAAACTGTTTTTTAATTCTGTAAATGTAAGCGATTTTTCTGTCATAATTCTTTTTAAAAATCTTACATAAGGCAGGGCATGATGGCTCACACGTATAATCCCAGCACTTTGGGAGTCAAGGAGGGTGGATCACAAGGTCAAGAGATCAAGACCATCCTGGCCAAAATGACAAAAGTGCATCTCTACTAAAAATACAAAAAAATTAGCTGGATGTGGTGGTGCATGCCTGTAATCCCAGCTACTCAGGAGGCTGAGGCAGGAGAATCACTTGAACACAGGAGGCGGAGGTTGCAGTGAGCCAAGATTGTGCCACTGCACTCAAGCCCGGGAAACAGAGCAAGACTCTGTCTCAAGAAAACCCGAAAATCTTACATACTCAATATATCAATATTTCCTTTGTAATTTCTTCCATTGTATTTACATTTAGAACTTCCATTTACATATTTACTTAAAATTTCTTATTGGTTTTTATTATTTAAAATCACTTCATAGGCTATTTCACTTTACAGTGGTAACTGGATTTTTTCCTCATATAATCAAACACTGCTTTTAATATTAATACCAAATCCTTTCCTTCTCACTGACATCGAAAAAAATCACCTTTATCATATTGTAAATTCTATAGCACTGTGGTTCTCAACCTCGAGTATACACTGGAATCACCCGGGCAACTAAAAACCACTGGTGCCTGGACCTCATTCCAAGAGCTTCTGACTTAATCGTTATGAGGTGCAGCCTGGACATGCGGAGGGTGTAGGGCAAGGCTTCCCAGGTGATTCTACCGTGCAGCTGTGGTTAACGTGAAGCTAACTGCTGCTAACGTGTTTAGGACTGGTTCTCATCCACCGGCAAGCATCCAAATGAAACAGAGTTTTAAGCACCTCCAGCCCACCCTGGAGATTTTTATTCAGTTCCTCTGTGTAACGGTCTGAGTAAAAGGAGTTTTAAAATCCTCACAAGTGATTCTCATTACATCCCAGGCAGAGAGACTGTTGAGGTGTTATCTATCCCATTTCATTCACGTGTTTGATTATCCTTGGGCTGATTTAATAACTTTGTTTTTATCATGAATTTCAATATCTGGTAAGGCTAGTGTCTGCTTACAACTCTTGAAAAATGGGTACGTATTAGCTTTTGCCTGTTTATGCTTCCACATCAGTGCTACTCAAGCTTTCCCCTGGGAACTTGTCTAAGATACAAGGACCCAGGACCTCCTGAACATGAGGCCAGGCCCTGTTTTATTAGTGTTCCAGGCAATTCTGAAACATACCACATTTTGTCAATCACTGCTCTAGAATCTAGATCATCTTAGTAATTTTTCGAGTTAAAATAGAATCTCATTGGGCTCTCAACAAGGTTTGCATTAAGCTTCCAATGCAGTGTGCAAGGCTCAACTTGAGACTCACTTTCTCTGTAAGGACTTTGCTGCTTACTCCAACCCATATTCATTGCTCACGTCTCTTAAGCCTTTAACTAGCAAACAACCAATTAATTGGCTTGCAATTCTCTCTTGGGATGGAATTCGGGACTACTAGCAAATATGCTCCTGGAGGGCAAGGTCTGGTGTCTCTTCCACAGTTTCCAGTATGGTACTGGTCCATGGAAGGCACTCAGTAATGCTTACCTTCATAATTTCCACGAATTCGTGAAGTTTATCAAAATCTTTGTCCATTATGTCCTTTATCTGGCGAGGAAAAAAGGCATGGCTTGACAAAGCACAAAGCATATTATTGACGTTAGTTGCGGTGTCTTCAGGGCATTTTAAGCAAACGGCAGCAGCTGCTCCTCGGGCACGGACTAATAATGGTTAGAGCCACTTTCCTTTCAATGAATCTGTGAGAGAACTAGGGTGCGAGCACCATCAAGCCACCACTGCCATCAGCCTTGGCACGGCTTAGATCTGGCTACTGCAAAGCTGCATGTTGGGTGAAGACCACAGCTTCAATTACACTTTCTTGCTTGATTATTCACCTGTTTTCCTAAGGATGCTACAGGTGGTTGGTTGTATCACAGAAATGAGAGGCTTCCTGCTCTGCAGCTTGCTCAGGGAAGGTGCATAACGAAGATGGGGTTGGTCCCTGGCTGCCCCTAAATTTAAATTCCAAATCAGCCCCACTCACTCGGCTTCACACTAACGTGACATCACCCACCCTTATCAAAGAGACACTTTAGGGAGTCCTCAGTCACTCAAAAATTGGGTTTACACATCTAACAAGTAAGAAGTAAGTAACCTAACACTGAAGCGCTCTGGGGGTCAGGACCGAATTACATTTTTCCATGCAATTCCTGCTTTCCTTCGCTATTCAAAGGTAAGCGCTGCACTTTTCCCGAAGCTACACTTTTCCTCCACATGGAAGGCCTCATCTTGTCACCTGTTTTATCTCCTCCATTTTCTCCTTGAGCTCTTCTCTCACTTCCCTGAGTTCATTCTGAGGAAATAAAATGAAGAGGAGGAAAGAAGCATCTAGGATGGAGGGGAAAATGGCAACAGGAGGAAAGAAAAGATCCTGGGGCATTTTCAGAGAAAAACTTCCAATAGGGAGGAAAGAAGGATGTTGTGAGGCAATGGGAGAGACCAGGCACACAGGCTCACACCTGTGATCCCAGCATTCTGGGAGGCCAAGGCGGGAGCATTGCTTGAACCAGGAGTTTGAGACCAGCCTGGGCAACATAGTGAGACCCTCCCATCTCAAAATTAATTAATGTTTTAAAAAGACTATAAGATAGTGAGACCTACAGGGCTCATGTGTCTCTGCCAAAAAAATGCACAGCCTGAGCCTTATATGAGGAATCCAGCAGACAAAGCCTAACGGCGGGTTATCCCACAGCATAAGTGATCTGTAATTTGTACAAATGTCAATGTCCCCAGGCCAGGCGTGGTGGCTCACGCCTGTAATCCCAACACTTCAGGGGGCTGAGGTGGGCGGATCATCTGAGGTCAGGAGTTCGACACCAACATGGTGAAACCTCATCTCTACTAAAAATACAAAAATTAGCCGGGTGTGGTGGCACGTGCCTATAGTCCCAGGTACTCAGGAGGCTGAGGCTGGAGAATGGTTGAACCTGGGAGGCAGAGGTTGCAGTGAGCCAAGCTTGCATCACTGGACTCCAGCCTGGGAGACAGAGGGAGACCCTGTCTTAGAAAATAAAATTAAATAAATTAATGTCACTGTCAGTGTCCCCAAAGACAAAGAACTGTTCTGTTCCAGATTATAGAAAAGACACACGGCAATTAGAGGCAACATGTAATCCTGGATCAGACCCTGGACCAGAAAATGCTCCTTTCCGTTGTTACGAAATACATGTGTGGGACAATTGGTGAAATTAGAACAAGGCCTATAGATGAGTGTTGTCTCTGTGTTAACTTCTGAATTTTAACTTCCGGGTTTTGATAATTGTACTGTGCCTATGTAAGAGGATATTCTTGTATTTAAGAAACAGGCACGGAGGATTTGGGGAGAACTTACTCTCCAGGGATTCGGAATAGACATGCCTCCAAGTTCACTCACCTTTAGGTCCCGCGTCACTCCTGCTTTGGTAAATGGCCCTTCTTGTTTGACTGCTTTGTAATCCAACGTCTGTGGATTGAAATAGGAACAGAGACTGTTGAGAATTGCAGATGCAGGGTGGAAGTGCAGAGGCAGGAGAGATCCCCCTGTGCTTCTGTTCCTCCCTTAGGGCTAGGGCAGGGGGAAAGCTGGTGGCCCCACATGTGCAGGCCCCTCCCTCTTTCAGCTCCTTTTGTCCCTTGGACAGCCAAGCTCATTCCCACCTCGGGCCTCAGTGCATGCTGCCTCCTCTGCCTAGAAGGCCCCTTCTCCACCTGTGCAAGGCCAGCACCTTGTCTGTCAACTCTCAGCAGCTCAAAGGAAGGCCTTTTTCCACCACCCACTCTACAGCAGCCACCCAGCCATGTCTCCCTGTCTTGATTCCCAGCAGAGCAGGTAACACTACTGAATCAGTCCTTGTTCATGTATGTATCTGATCAGTTACAGTGTGAAGTTCTATGAGAGCAAGAACCCTCAGTGCATCCCCCAGCACCTGGGACAGGTCTTGGCCCCTAGGATCAGCGAACGACCCCTGACTCCAGGTCACATTCCCCCCGATCTCAGGCCTGGCTGCTGGCATAGCCTCAAAACAGCTTCTTACCTTGGTCGTCTCTTGCTTCAATTCCAGGCAAACTGCCTTGTAGTTCTTGCTCTGCAGAAGAAGGAGGCTGAGATTCAGGCCAACAGCCATCAGGATTGAGGAGGAGAACATCTGGTCCGTGCAAGGGGACCCTGCCCCCCTGCCACCCCCATGTAACCCTGCCTGCCCAGCTGACGGGCTCAGGCTTGCAGACCCCACAGCACCCGGATCTGATTCTTGGCAACTCAAATCTCGGCGTGCTGTCCTCTTCCTGCAGGCGTGTGCCCGCCCATTCAGCAGGCAGCCCTCTCCCTGCTGGAGGGGCCAGTGTGGAGAAAGCACTTTAAGATAACTAGAAGCAAGCCCGGAAGTGTTTCCAAGGCAAGGGCTTTGGCCATAGGCAGATTTGGGCTCTAATCGCAGCTGTCCTCTCTACTAGCTTGGTCAATTTGGGTGAGTTGCCTTAGCCTTTCTGAGCCCCCATTTCCTCATCTGTAAAATCGTGGTGATAATGATATTTATCCAATAATGTTATTTTGAGCCTTAAACCTGCTGGTTAGATGCTGGCAGGTCTGGTATGGGTCGTGGAACCATGAGTGGTCTTGGAGGGAGGAGTGCTCCCTCAGCAGTGCACCTCATTCTCAGAGGGAGGCAGCAGAGGCCTCTTTCTTCCCACCCCAAGCCCAGGGATCACTCTCACACCTCTTTCAGGCTGAGAGGCTGCTTTATGCTCAGAAAAGAGAAAGAAAAACCAGAGGTTCATGGGAGTGTTCTCTGTGTCCCCTACCCCTGCCACCATCTCCATTCAGTAGGCACTCAGGCCCCAACCTGTCCAGCAATGCCTCTCTTTTACCAGATTTGTTTTCTTCAATTCTGCCCTCTTGGCCGACATGATGGAGGAGGCCAGGGTGTTCTTCAACACCCCACAGCAGCCCCCAGGACCAGGCCACTGTCCTATGCAACTTCCAGGTATGGGCAGGGAGACCACCCCTTTGTGTACGGAACAGCTGAGGTCACAATGCCAGGTCCCACATGCTGGGCACCACAGCTTCAGGCCTGGGGGGCCTTGGCCACTGAGATGAGGGGCTCAGAACAGGTTTCAGAGCCACAAGGCCTCCCTCTTACAAGAGAAGGAAAGTTGGAGGTCCTCCTCTCAGTACCATGGCCTGCTACGGCTGAAGCATGAGGCACACATCAGAAGCAGCAGCTCCTTCTGCAGCAGGACTCACATACGGACTCGGAGGACGCCCTCCAGGGACAGTCAGCTTCTCCTCTGAGCACGCAGCCCATGTCCCCTGCTGTGCATTCCTCACGCGAATGGACCCCACCTCAGGCCGGAAGCCACCTTGAGTTGGGGGATGGCCTGGAGTCTCTGGTTCAATGTACATGCACTGTCTTACCTAGCCTGGGTTACTCTCTGTGAGGTGGGGTAGCCAATCTCAGCAGGATGGTTTCTGATGTCTCTGGCCGCAAAATGCCCCTGTCCTACAACCACCCCCACCCACCTAAAAAGTCTCTTTGCCTAGCTCTTCTATCATCCTGGAAGAGGGTTGGGACATGAAGCTAAAGACAAGAAGCTTTTGGGGTGAATAAAAAGGAATACTAAAGAAAAGTGCATTCTGAGGGTGGCCATAGTTTGTGCTAAAGTAGACAGAGGAACATGGCATCCCATGGGATCAAAAGTCATTGGGAATCTGGGTTGGTGAACTTGATTTCCCTTTTCCTTTGATCACTGGGCATTCCACTTCCTTCTTCCCTCTATTTTCAACTGCTAGTTGCACAGAAAAGGCCAGTGTGGACTTCTGAGGACAGACAGCACAGGAGTACAGGAACTAAGGCAAACTGCATGTGAATGACATGCCCACACATGCCACCTCTGATCACATGCATCCTCCCATTTCATGCACCTGCTCGGGCCTATCCTTCCTGCAGGCCACTGGAACTCTGGAGCCACCTGCAGCACTTCAGAGGCATTTCCTTGGTGGTGATTTCCCAGCCCCAACACTGGTGACAGCTGTGGGTTTTACTCTATCACAGCCAGAGGAGAATTTGTCTGCCCCTGCATCAGGGGAAGGAGAGGGAGTTGGGGATGATCACCAGCTTCCCAGGCCTCACTTTCCCCACTTGTAAATGAGCGGCTAGAACTTTTAAGTTTCCTTGGACCATTTAGTTCAGCCCTCCCAGATCTGATGGCCTCCTGGTAGGAATGCCCTTTCTCCAAGGAAATGACAGGGAAAACGACTGATTCCATTTCAACCTCCACCAGCCCCATGAAAATGGGCCCCATCTCCTTCTGCTAGTTTTGGCTTGGGGGCCTCCTGGACCTGCAGCAGAGCTTCCCTTGCCTGACTGAGCAGTTTTTAAATGAGCTGCCTTCTAGCCAAGCATAGCACATGAGCCCACTGGCATGTCTTTTAGGAAAGGTCTAAGAGAAATCAAGGTCTGAATGCAAAACCACTTTATAAAGTAAAAAATTATCTATGTATATATGTGCACATGGTACCATCATTTGGGCAGAACTTTAACTACAGACCCAGAGCTCTGGGCTTGTGCCTTCTCAGAGAATTTACTATTCACGTTCTCAAATATTATACACCATTGTTTATTAATATGCTCTGGAGGGACTGGGGGAGTCCATATGGTGAACCTGAATAATGATTATTTATCTATTAAGAGACGGGATCTTGCTCTTTTACCCAGGCTGGAGTGCAGTGGTATGAACGTGGCTCATTGCAGTCTTGAACTCCTGGGCTCAAGCGATTCTCCTGCCTCAGCATTCTGTGTAGCTGGGACCACAGGCATGTGTCACCTGCCCAGCTAATTTTTAAAATTTTTTGTAGAGACAAGGTCTCACTATGTTGCCCAGGCTGGTCTCGAACTCCTGAGCTCAAGGGATCCTCCTGCCTTGGCCTCCCGGAGTGCTAGGATTGCAAACATGAGCCATCATGCCCAGTCTGAATAATGATTTTCATATTCTTTTAAGAAGCTTTGCACCCACATGAGAAGCTGGGTCGAAGCAGTGTTGCAGTTTTGGTATTGCTGTGGTATAACTTTGTTGTAGGTAAGCCATAGGATGTTCTTACCTGAAGAATGCTAGACATGCTTTTCCTAATCCCCCTTCAGAGCAAAATCCATTTGTACCAGGGCAAGCAGCATAGAGCCCACTGCTGTTCCATCGGAGTTTGGGGAAAAAGGAATATTCTCAACAGACAGAATGAAGAAGCCACCTGTCTCTGTTTTCCAAGCTGATATCATTTTCTTTACAAGCGTCCTGCTTTTTTTTTTTCACTTTTATGAATACAGTGTTGCATGGGGAGGCTGGGGTTGGGGGAGTTTTAAAATGGTCTTAGGCCTCTTGTGATTCAGGGTCTGACTCATGATGAGGTCCAGGCTCAGCCACTCCCCACATCAGCCCCAAAGAACATTAAGAGAATGTCATGTGTGCCAAGGGGCCTATCTGACCACTGGGGGACCAGTGTTCTAAAGCCCTTTGATTAGGGTGGAATGTTTCACAAAGACCCAGAATTCAAACAGACATGGCTCAATACATGTGACCTAGATGATTCCCACTTAGGATGCCCTGGCTGTTTACATCCCGACAGACTGGAGTTTCTGGGTGGCTGCCCTCAGCCAGAGAGGATCTCTGACTCACAACCCCAAGAGAACCTCTTACATAAAATTTTTAGAGATCTCATATGATTGATTCCCGTATTGTCCTGCTTGACTGATTTATAGACACCTTGGAAAGCTTTACTCTGCGCAGGGTACAAATATCTTTGATCACTGACACACTGAGTACTAGGCAATTTCTGACCATTTTTATCATAGTGATCAGACCTTGGCTAGAATCATAATCCTATTAAGTTGTTTCTGTGGAAAACCTATATCCAGTTTTTATCACATGTACTTCCTGGTACCTCTGTTTCAGTAACTAAACATAACAATTGGAACAGATCATTGTAAATCTCTGGCTATTTCAATACAGCTAATGACAAGTGAAAAGTCAGAGCAAATGTACTGTGGGAGGATCTTCTCTCCTGTCAGTTCGCCATGACAGGCCCATGCTTGCCAGGAACTCCCGAGAACCAGGGGAACCCGTTGCTATTCCCACAACCAACCATCACAGGGCACCTGGCGTGTGAGATAAAGCCAACACCACCAGCCAGCAGAGGTTCTCCCTGCTCCTGCCAAACACGGCCCCTGAGGCCTCCTTACTTAGCCCGTTCCCTTTACCCTCTTTGGATGGAACCCAAATAGAGTACAGCGATGATTTCACACCTGCCTCTCTCCGCTTCCCTACTGGAAGGTGCTCTGCAGTTGCAATTTCCACCCCTAAAATCCTTCTTTCCACCTCTGACAGCTTCAAATTCCCATCCATCACTGAAATAATCAAACCGAGTGGCACAGTAGTAGACTCTTGGGACTGGCCTTGTTGGGGGACTATGCTTCATATGAGGTCCATGGAGGGTGGAATGTCTCAGGTGGGAGGGCTCCTTGGGTTAGTCCTGGAAATAGCCCTTATTGCTCCCACTCACATTTCTGTGGCTGGAACATAATCGCAAGGCTGTACCCCACTGCAAAAGAGGCTGGGAAATGTGGCCAGGTTTCTCCCTGGAATAAGAGGAGACAGGCTTAAGGGGCGAATCTCCACCACACTTCCCTGACACATTTCATCTTCCTTATTCCCCTCTAGCAAGTCTCCTCGTAGGAAAACTTGATTTAGAGTTCTGTTCTTAGTGTAAAAGGGAGGTAGCTTACGAGGTCCCTAAGGGAAGCCAGTAGCTGGGTGTGGTGGTACACGCCTGTGGTCCCAGCTACTTTAGAGGCTGAGGTGGAAGGATCGCTTGAGCCCAGGAGGTCAAGGCTGAAGTGAACTAGGATTACACCACAGCACTCCAGCCTGGGCAACAGAATAAGACCCTGTCTAATTAAAAAAAAAAAAAAAAAAGGAAACCTACACTGGAGACTCAAACAGAATGAAATCTCCCAGTAAATGTGAACTGGAAGAGTTAGGATTAGGGTTAGCAACTCACCTCTGTGTCACCTGAATGGCCAGTAGGCTGGAGCATTGAGACGGAGACCATAACAATGGTTTGTTACACGTTTGTATAACTGTCCAGGGCTTTCCAGTGCAAGCGTTCCATCTATCCCAGTCCCGTTCTGTGCAAGGCCCTGCAAACCTCCTCCCCACCACAGGCTTCTCCCCTCCCGCAGCACCAGAATGTGCAGCACCTAAGCCCTCTGAGTAGCACTGGGGCCCAGCCAAGTTGCCCCGGCTTTGCCAGCCCCTTCCTGGGGTGTGGGCCCTGCTGCTGTCCTCTTGGCTGAGAATCCGTAACTTGCTTCAGCTGAACCTTTGTGTCCACCTGAACTTGATTCCTGTCTGGAGTTGCCAAATACTGGACTCCACCCACCAGACATGGCAACAACTCAGATTGAGCCAGTTTTTCAGACCCTGGAGATGCTGATTGCTGGTTGGCATCTGGTGGAGGGTAAGCCTGGCCACTGACTCGTTACATCAGGTTTACCTCCTTCCCATGAACGTTCTGCCCCTGAGAGCAGAACCTTGGGAGGCTGAGGCAGGAGAATTGCCTCAGAGCTGAGTCCACGTGAACACTGGCTCAGAAGGTTTAAATCTTCTTCTCTTGCTAGGGCTTAAGGCCTGGGCTGGAGACACAGCATCTCTCTTATTATTTATTTATTTATTTATTTATGAGATGGAGTTTCACTCTTTTCACCCAGGCTGAAGTGCAGTGGGATGATCTCAGCTCACTGCAACCTCCACCTCCCAGGTTCAAGCAATTCTCCTGCCTCAGCCTCCCAAGTAGCTGGGATTACAGGAGCCAGCCATCACACCTGGCTAATCTTTTGTATTTTTAGTAGAGATGGGGTTTTGCCATGTTGGCCAGGCTGGTCTCCAACTCCTGACCTCAGCTGATCCACCCACCTCGGCCTCCCAAAGTGCTGGGATTACAGGTGTGAGCCACCGTGCCCAGCCTAGAGCATCTCTTACCTGGAGCTGTGGGGTGGTGATAAAAGTGAGGGAACTTGTAAAGCCAAGAGTCTCATAGAGAGCTGAGGTCAATGTGCTCAAGAAAGCTGGTTAAATGGGTCTCCAAACAGAGTAGCCAAAGGCAGATCCTGAGAGCCCTGGTGGAGACCTGGGGGAGAGGACAGAAGTCAGGAAACTGGTTCTAGCACAGACATGGCCAGCCTGGGAGGTCCTCAGGGGTGACCAGTGGTGAGTAGGGAGAATCTGGGTGCATTTAAAGACTAAGAATTAGGCAGCTTCCAAGGTGTTTACTCCTTTCTTCTTGTTACATCACTGAGCTCTATGCAGGGCTGTGGATTTTTTCTCTTGTTGGCAAAGAGCATTGGTAGAATGCTCATAAACAGCCTGTATGGTTTTCCACAACTTAGACTCATAAATTCTATGTTCCTCTCGCATTTAATGGCAAAATATTTTTCTTCTCTAATTTAGTTTAGGTTTAACAAAGTTAAACAGTATACATCCAGATCCACGTTGATATGCTGAACATAACACTGGA